TGTGCTGCAGTATTAAAATTCATGATTTCCCATTTTTCCATGTCCCTGTATGTAACATACTTAAGTTCAGTTCAGTGGTCTCAAGTACATCAAACCATGAGTGAAAAGACATTATTGAGGTAATGAAATTCATATGAATAAAGTCACTATAGATGGCTATGGGTCTTTGCTGTTTCAATGTGTCTTTGCTGTTTCAATGTGCCAGGACATTCTTAAAAAACAGAGATACCCTGATCTCAAGGAAAGGGCAAAATAAAGTAAAATATTTATGTTGTTTTGGTTTGGTACATATTTGAAATCTACAAACACATGCGAACCCTGTACTGTTCTTGCCATAATGCAACATATTTAAAACAAAACACACCACACAGACTCTAATGTATTATCTGTCAGACAGTGAGCAATGTAATTGTGGCAGAATCTTGTTTGAGTGGAAGGCATCCTGTTAGCACACAGAGTGTTTAAGACAAGACTGGGTCCTTCTGCCAATAAGACGCCATCTTTTATTGGCTTACTTCTGCTGCCAACATGCATAGCATGTGGTCATTGATGACCAATCCTCCTTTCACTAGCTCCTTCGTACTGCAAAAATATACAAATACTAAATATTTGATACTGCCAGCAGTGCCAGAAGTTGGATAGCTAGGACTCAACACAAAGGCAATCACTTAATCTGCTGTAAACAACAACAAAGATGATCATCACTAATTACAGAGTTGGTCCAAATTATATGTTCAATGTTCAAATTCTACTGAAGCTTCCTTTGCCTTTACATTTAAGCTCACCTCACTGAAAGAAATGTTTGCTGTGTGTTGCTGTATACACAGACTGGCCCACTACAAGATACAGGTACTGCTCATAGACTGTTTATAAAGATGGACGACACGTAGTTCTGACTGCTGCTGGTCATCATTAAGTGCTGGTAACAATCTCATCTTCTTTCATGGCATGCCCAGGCCATGCCTTCCTCCTTAGCCATTACTGGTTCCCTTAGTAGCTGGGTTGAAATGCCCTTGACTTCGTAAACTCTTGACATCTTGTCCCTCGCTCACCCCGAGCTTACGTAATGAGTGCCTCTTGTCCTCAGAAAGAATGAGTAAACTACTTCCATCAATCTGTCTGGTTTAATCTGCATTAATGACCTTCTCTTGGACATTCCTACACAGACAAGATTATGGTATGGTATTGACTTAATATCTGCCATGTATGACATATGTTTAGGTTAATCTGGATAAGAGTATAAACCAGGTATCTTTCCATTGAATCCATCCAATATATTAATATATTGTCTTCCTAAAGCAGACACAATACATAGTTGGAAAAGCCCAACGATTAAAATTTGTTTTGAGATGAGAACCTTTACAAAAAGACGTGTGTTAGTTGCTTGTAATGCTAGAATCAGACAGCTAATTGCCACTACAGTTAGCCTGAATTCTTCCAATTCAATCATTACCCCAAGATTACCGAGTAGACCCGAGGCATTAATTAAGGAATACCTTGATCTAATCTCATATTTATCTTCATGAAGTATTTATCACACACAGTAGTAACAACAAAAAAAGGTCAGATAGTCAAACGCAGCTTGTCAGCTTTGAGGTTAGTGGTTACCATTCTTCTGAGCAGAGAGTAAACTATGGCTGCAGTGTGTGATGCTAAATGGATGTCATGAGCAATGCAAACTTTGAAGACAAACCACCTCAGAGTAGTTGCAGGAGGAGCTGGTATTTCTAAATAATGTTTCAGCAACAGGGGGGTAAAGTGATACATGATACATGATGTACACAGATATTAAAACTACTTTTGGTGAGTTCTAGAGATCAACCCGGTACAAGGAATGGCTTGACTCCAGATGTTGCCAACTGCATCTGCCTAGGCCTGACCACAGAGTCACACTGTGTATTTATCTTTCTGTATTAGTTTCAAATAAAGGTTAAAACCGCTACTAAACCTTCAAAGTTAATAGCTACAGGATGTTGTACTGTAAGTACTTTCACTGTTTGAAATTATTTAATGCAAATAATATTTCACTCTTACTTTATTTATTTCTATAGGAAATTGAAAATGTATCCTCTGTGTTATCCATTGATGTCACATACAGAGTTGTAGTGGGCATCCCAGCACATCATCAGACCATGTGCAAAACAAAGTACGCAAAATGGCACATGCTTTGACATTTTTCTCCCTGCATAAACGGAACTGCCCTTGACTCTAGGCTAAAGTAAGGCTGTGGTAAAACCGCCACCTTGCCACATGTGGCATGAGTTATTTTTACACAGTTTGATGTACAGAAAGACAACGTGTTTTGCCAAACTAACAGGTTTGTTCATACAATGACAATAGGTGAGATCTCTCTTACCCTACTGTCCTCTTTCCCTTTCTGAAGGCAGTGAACATGCCCTTCAGGTCATGCCCCTCTGCATCATTTGCAGCTGTGGCTGATAATGGGGAAGATAGCGGAGGAGGGAATGGCCAAGGCCAATCCCATGAGAAAGGAGACAAAAGCAGACACCTCTCAGCCATAACATCTGGACACAAAAAGGGTGTGAAATGTCAACAAGACAAATTATCTTAAAGCCTCCAAAACTGCTTTGTTGTTACCCTTCCAAGCAGGAAACCGTCAATATTAGTTAAATTGTACAAACAAAAAGGCATTTTGTGTGTGTGTGTTTGTACGTATGCTGAACCCTCACCAAGGTAATGTGACTCTGAGTTACAGCTGAAGGGCACGAGAGTCAGAGCTTTCACTAAGAGTGTTAGAAATATTAAGTTATAACATTCAATTCACAGTGTTCTACTAGACTTGAAACTTGACCCAAAACACGACACTGATCTCCTCCAGTGTCAATTCAAATCCTTAAATAAAGTATAAGAACAAATATGCTTCTGACCAAGACGGCTAAGCATTCATGGAGAGAGAAAAAAACTAGCTTTAGTCACTTCTTTGTTGAGATTGAACTTTACAGACCAAAATGTCAGAACTAAATTACCTGAGGAAAAAAAGATTATAGATTGACAGTACGCAACTAGACACCACAGTGTGTAATCAGCTAATTCAGTACAAAAAACATATAAGTGACAGAGTTCGTTTAGACATCTTTTCAATTTTGTGTTTATATCTGCGATGGACTGGCGACCTCCAGGGTGTACCCCGCCTTTCGCCCGATGTCAGCTGGGATTGGCTCCAGCCCCCCGCTGTGCGCAGGATAAGCGGTTGACGATGGATGGATGGATAGATGGATGGATATCTTTTATAGGCAAAAAAATTGCCTATATATATTGTCTATTTGAATAAAGCCATACTGCTAATGCCTGCTGAGTGACAGTCCAAACTAAAGTCCACAGCAGATGACTCAGAGAGTGCAGGTAGGTATGACAGTGACCCTTTGAACCAGGACTCTTTAGGGCCCCTGTCCACCAAAGCGTTTTTTGCCAGCTGAAAACGCCACCTGCTGTTCTGAAAACGCCAAGTTGGGAGCGCTAGGGTGCGTTTTGGAGGCGCAATGTTTCTTTTCGAGACGTTGTGGTTGCTATGATACATAATTTCCGTGGAGGCGATGTTGCATGTAGGGTAGCCTACTTAATTTTACTGATAATTTTACCTTTGCTCTGCATGAAGAGAAGCCTGAAACATGAGAGCACAGACTGTCCGTATGTGGGTTCATGAGATTTGCGGGCGAGGAAACACCTCGGCGAGTAGGCACATCGCTTCGTTCACGATCGGATTTGCTTGGTGCGGTGTTTGTCCCGCCCCTCCTGCACTGTGATTGAGTGACAATGACGAGCGCAGCGTTTTTCCCAAAGTTGAACATTTTTCAACTTTCGGCGACCGGAAAAAAACGCTCAGCACCCAGCGCCGAAAAGACGCTCAGCGCCTCGTCACGCTCCTGGCGTTTTTACCAGCTATTAAAAACGCGGCGCTCCAATTAGAATGAATTGAAAAAAGACGCTGGCGTCAGAAAAAAACGCTTTGGTGGACACGGGCCTCACCTTGCACACAGTATTTATCTATGAACTGAGGCATAAAACCAAACTCACAACGGATTTTTCTAGTCTCCAAAATAAACATTTCTCTATCACATTATTAACACAATCCGATTGCCTAGGACAATGTGCATACAGTAGTATGGATTGGGTTACAAGAAAATGTTGGGGTTTGAGATAAGCAGTTTATTGTATTTAACCCATAAAAAAACTCATAATGGGTTAAGTATATTGTAAGTGTGGGCCCAAAAACAGCTATTAAAAAAAGGTACCTGTCCATCTGTCAATAAAGACTGTTCCATGGCACAAAGATAAAGGTTTTTTCCTTTCACTTCAATTCAACCATGTGACCCGGTGTTCATTAAACCCGTCTCCCCTGGCCTTACTTATTTATTTAATGAAATGTATTCTCTACTGGTTTGATACCATTTCATCATTTGATGCCACTCAGTCAGATATTGGAAGATGTGTTCAGTGCTTTCATGTTGCTTTCGTGAGACTAAAATGGGTTTGTTTCTTTCCAAATACTTCTCCAAAAGTTACGTTGTTAAGATGTTAATATCACATGGAAACCAATTGTATGGCTGAGGTCACATTTTATTTCCAAAATGAAAAGTTAGGAACCACTGACCTTGACCAAACTGCATGTTGTATGCAAACACAAGGTATGTTTTGTATGCATACAAAACAATTTTGGTATGTGGTGTCATAATGACATCAAACTATTCTATGTGCACATCTACATTCTAGCAGACATCACGGTTTAACACAGAGAGGGAGGTAGTGACACAAGGAATGAGCCTCAAGGGTAGTCAAACTGGAAATACAAGTGGGTGTTGCCAAAATTGTGTTTGTGTGTCTGAGTATGTGCGTGTGAGTATATTTACAGTAAACTCTATCCAGAACATATCCATGCATGAGATGACCAAAAAACAACAGGAGTAAAGCATATGTATCACACATACAAGTGTTTGTTATGTTAATTCCCCTTTTCGTATATTCATAAATAGAGTTCCGGTCTGCATTCACCTCATTTCACAATCTTCTTATTGTAGGGAAGTGTGAATTAATCCTGTCAGCGCAAATTTGGTGACTGATCTACGACACCCAAATTACTCAGTGAGTTCAAGCCTGAAAAGTTCAAAAAGACGGTATGTACCCTTCAGATTCTCTGTGTGTGAGGCAGCATGGTTAAATCTGATAATGTAAATGTTACATACTCTTTGAAGTGAAATATACTTTCTCTTCAGCGGGTCTTATCTCCAATCAAGAGTTTTGGTGCTGTCAGTGTAGAGGTGGAGACATTTTCTTATTCAGCCGTAACGCACAGCACATACACGTACTTTCAGCAGACCAATCTTTTCCTCAGTGAAACTGTAAATATTGCTTAGTGTGGGATTTGAAACATTGTTAGTCTACTACAAGAATGTCAAGACATTCACAGAGAATAAGTGTAGTAAAAAGTAAACTCTAAGACTCTTTATTCCAGATAGCAACCAGGGAGGGGCCGGAAGCTAGCAAAACAATGTAATCTTCATGCACACTACTGAAACTGGCATGTCAGTCACACACTACAGCACATACACACTCAGCTACGGCAAATATTTTATCTCGTGGCCTGTGACTAAGGGGTCTAAAGCTCACAGGAACACACCACATGGTAATACAAGAATTCTAATGGGTACACATTGCGGTCAAACAAAAAAACCTTCACACGGTAAAAAAGTACATGTCATACAACAAAGGAGAGGATGTTTTGAAAACAATTTTACTGCCATTTAACACAAACATTTACAGACTTTAAGTAAGTTATAGGATTCCCTTAAAATTATTAATTTACATTTTGGAGGGTTTGCACTTTAGTTATCACATAGTCCTATGTCACAACAAATGGCTCTATGTCAAATCTCTGTGATTTCTGTTTGCAGGACTTTGCGGACCTCACAGGCTTTAGCCAGAGACAGAGTCGTGCATTGTAATAAGATAAGAAAGGACAGGTGGCCCAGTGATCAGGTGCCAGACTGCCGCCCTGCATTAGAGCTGAGCTGAAGCCTACTGTGTGTCTACTATGGCTCTACTTGATTTGCTTCACATTAAGCTCTGAAATAATACAGAATTGAGAGGGGAGTCTCTTCAGCATCACAGGTGATCACATGTGTCATGTGAGCTATTTGGAGACTGATTTACAACCCAAAAGAACCTGCTGTAGGATTACCATTAGAGCTCTAGCCAAGTAGTCCAAGTCTACTTAATATTTCCTGTTTCAACAAACAACATAATCTGTGTTAATGGGTAACCCCCTCTCACTCTAGGACAGTCTTCTCAATAACATTACTAACTGCTTCTATAAGCCACACATAAAAGAACCTTAGACTCTAACCTGTGACGTCAATAGGGCAGCTGTATATTCAAATGCTGTTTATTGGCTTAGTTAACCTCAACAAACCACTTGATAAACTTATATGACAAATTACTAAAGTAAATGGGATTTGGACAGGTCAGTATGACTCTTACCTTGCAGCTGTTTAAACCTTCCCTCCAGGATGTTAGAGTATTGCACCTGATTAACAAATGCTGCTGGGGACAAACAGGGCTCTCTGCCCCTGTGTTCCCACTCCATGGCCTTTTTGCTGGATCTCTAAATATTCCTCTCAAAGTGAATGGGAGTTCTCCTGCATAGCACAGCACAGGCAAGCCTTCCCACTAAAAATGTATCAAATCCTTTAGAGGGAAAAGTTTTATACATCCAAAATGCCTTGGTTTACCCTTCTCTTCTAGATTCACCTCAGTAAGAAGCAACACAAGTTTGAAAATGTTACCGCGCGCTCTTCATCTACCGTATGTTCCACCTTGTCCAATGACACGCAGAAATGAAAGCATGGGTGGAGGATTTTTTCAAATAATCAAAATGTTCTCTAGTTTCACCTCCTCCTGCAAAGAACTTCACCACACTTGTGGCCTTTGAGCAAAGTAAAAACTTGGTTGCACTCCCTCGTGGTTTGAGCAAAAGGAACACTGGCTACTCCTTCCCTCCAAACTCTGAACACGCAGAGCACAGCAGAGCAGGCTAACCAGCCACGGTCGGATAGCTGTGTAAACAAAGCCTGCTGTGCCTCTGAAAATTGTGTCATTTGCATAAGGTGTGTGAGGGAGGAGCACAAAGGAAGAACATTGTTGAGGGGTGTGGGGAGGGAGGAGGTATAGAGGAGGACTAAACCATTAGAGTTCTTTGCTCAGTGTAGCTTGATACAGATTATTTAACTCCACCTTAATTCCAGGGAACACTGTGGTGTGGCCTGCCGAGAAGGTATATCAGGAAAGTCCCCATCAGATTCGCTGTGTGGTACAATCTTATTTCTATCACTCTCAAAACAAGACTTGATCTCCCTTTTTCTGTTCACGGGGTCTGTCTTATAGTAAGGCGTTAAGGCAGGAAGGAAGTTGTTGAGTCAGTCTCAGCAGCACAACAAGCTCTTTCCTGCCTGAACAAGATTTGAAATTGTGAACTTGTGTCTGTTTGTCAGGCAGATGGTTAGGCAGGGGTGGGTGTGGGTGTGTAAGTGAGTCATTACCTCTTTTTAACAATTACAGAACTGTGCTGTGTACACATTTGATTACTTACTACATGAGGGACAAATATAGAAATGTGTCTGGAAAAAAATCGACCAAATTAAACATTTAAATAATCAGTAAGAAACATAATTTCCTTAACAAGAGGTGCCCATTGTCAAATTAAGTAATTGTTTACAAACACTGGAGGAAAATGGAAATGTATTTTAAATTATTCTGGGATTTGAAAGTTACAAAATAATTATTTTCCTCCATCATTAAACAAAGGAACATCATATCATAGAGACAGTAATTACAGCCTTTTAGCGCATCCTTCAAGTAAGTTTATGTCCACATAACTTTCATGGCTGTGCTCCATAATGCAACACCAATAATAAAGCAGTACTTTCTTTAAATATGTGTAATATGCACTAAGATCACTGTCAACTATGCAGAAAAATTTGAATATATTTTCAAAGTTGAATATCTTGTTGAATGGATGTTCATTCAATAGGCAGCTGCAAGAAAGGAATTTGTCTTTTTAAGCTGCTAATTAATGCCATAAGAAAATGCAACACCAAGGCAAAGTTACACATGTACTAAATGCCTGTGTGTGCAAAAATTACACAAGACTGTAAACAACACAGTGAGGACTAAGGTCACAGCCTTCTTACGAGTGGATGGCGTTTTGGTCTGGTCAGGGGGCAGTGTTAAAAAGGCCTGGTTGTTTTTTGATCCTGATGAGCAGGGAGCATCTGGATGGGTCTCATTAGTGGACCAAATGCCCCGGGCATTCTGTGACTGGGTGTTTATGGAGGGGGACTGAACTAATGAGATCCAAAGAGAACACAGTTCCTTCTGAGGAACAGAGGCTATGCTACGGTCACATGCAGTGAGAAAGGAAGAGCGGAGAACTGGTAAACCACAGTAATGGCCATTTGAGATCCCACTGGGTATATATCAAACATCGCAATCCCAATTAACATGAGAGGCAGAATTGATGGCAGGCTTGTGTGTCTGGCATATGTGTCTTAACATATTATGTTAAGGCAGTTTCCTCCCTATGCAACCCAACAATCATTTGGATATGCTAATAAATAAACATACTAGATAGGATTAACAGCTACGTTCTGAGTCTTGTGAAATATAAAAACTAACAGAGAGAAAACTCTGATGTGTTGAATGAAGATAGAAAGATGAGAAAGAGGAAAATATAGAAGCTACTGGGGGGTTAAGCAATGCCAGAGGAAGAAATGCAAAATCTATTGCTGAGCATGTATATTTTATCCATCCAACAGCACAACCACTTCTAAGGATCCAGGGGGAGGGCGGAAGGCTGGACCATACTCCAAATGCAGGTAGAAAATATTTGATCTGAAGGGGAATCCACTTGGAGCAAATGGGGTTGATTTCTCATGAGTCCTGCAATAACTCAAGTCTTAGTTCCAGTATCTGTATCTGTGGTCAAAAGTGAGAGTGAATTGATATGATATTTAAATATTATTGCATGCATTTCTATTGTTTGTTGGTTAATTATATATACTCATGAAATATACAAGCATGGTCTGCGTACATGAATTGGTGGTTTCCAGATTTAAATGATTTGTCATAGCTATGATAATGGCGTGAGTATGTTGTGAAGAATAACAGAGTTGCTCTTTCCAATCCCACTGTGGAAGCTTCCACAAGTAAATACATGTAACACTTTGAGAGTGAAGCAGGGTTTTGCTTAAAACAAAAGGCACGTTTGTACAGCTTGCCTTGCTACCCACAAAGTATAGGAGAGTTAGATAAGTGGTTAATTATGCAAAATACAATGATCTTAACAAGGGGAAGGATCTCTACTGTGAAACAGTAAGTGGCAGCCACTGGTGTCACACCTGGAGTAACATTATTCCAACAGACCGGAAGGTTGTAAGAGGTGTGAACCAGGAAATGAGGTGATGAAATTACAGAGACAAAAGCAGAGAAAATTGCAGATGCGTAAGTAAGTAGCAGGTTACAGGATGAAGAAGGTCTTGACATTTGGGGATAAGTTGTAAAAGGTGGGCAGGAGCTGAGCCTAGGGGGAAATAGCTGCTATAGCATGTCAAAGAATGTGCACATCAAGCCCACACTTGTCAAACAGAGATGGTATCACAGTTATTAACATGAGAGTGCACAAGCACACACACTCACACCACCATAATTATATGACAGCAAGATACAGAATATCTTTAAATACAGTACAATGCGTATACAACCAGATTACAGGCAACACACAAAGTGTTTCTGTCGGCATGAGGAAATGAGTCTAGCTGTATTTGTAAGTGAAATTAGGTTTATCTTTCAGAAATACTTTGACTACAGCGGTACTCAAAGATCAGAGCATGTCGGTTCTGCTGCTTGTGTGTATTGTGTGTGCGTGCGTGCGTGCGTGCATATGTGTGTGTGTGTGTGTGTGTGTGTTTGTCTGTCTTTATGCTGCCTGCCTGTTGCTCCCCTCTGCTGGTTTCTCCATGATACTGCAACTTGTTTTGACTAATAACGAGTGACATTGTATCTACAGACTGTGAAACTAAGAAGGTACAGGTTAGATAAATAAACACACGCGCGTGCACACACACACACAGAGGATGTACTTAAACAAGTAATAGGGCCATCAGGATTTTCACCTGGGTCACCTTAATTGGAGCCTCCAACAGGATAGGCTGACCTGACAGACATGCACTCACACATGTTGGAAGGATGTCAGGAATGTCAAGGGTTGGCCAGTAAAGTAGGGAATAAAGTGTAACCTCCTTATTCATTTGAGTGAGACCACTACTTGGGCACAGCATGGGTTTTGGTTTTGATGCAGAGATCTCCAGCACAGAAAACACTCGGTCACCCAGAAAAAAGTTAAACCTGGATACACTTTGTATGGTTGTTTTTGAATCATTACATGAATGGACTTTACAAACATTTTAGAGGGTTGACTTATCTTGGGCTGCCATATTGATGGAGGATTTTCACCACACTTAGCCCTAGTCTAGTCTCACCTCACCACCTCATTCCATCATTGCTTATTGCTCTTTGGTGAATTGACTGTACAGCTGCCTGGCTTTGTCCTCCTTTTGGAAGTATTTCTGTCTTGCCCTATAAAGAGAGAACTTTGCCTTTTGGGACAGAAAAGAATAAAGTTTGTTCCTCAGTCTACAAAGCCTAATTAGATTTTTGCAAATTAGTTTGTCAGTTTGTGATTTTGTCTCTAATTGTCATCTGTTTCTCAAACTGTTGCATATTTAAAAATGTTATTTTAAAGAGTTGTATTTTAAAGAGACCATATTGTCCCAAATATAGGACTAATGATTACATTTGGGAAAAATAGTGTGTTGTATTATACTCAAGAACTAGAGAGTTCACAACCACAGATGTTCTGTTTGAGTGGAGTGAACACCATATATTGAAGTACAAAGTGAGAATGTTATTTTACAAGTGTTGTGCCTTGTTCTTTTCTTGCCTTGAGGCTGCTTGGCTAGCAAGTTTTTACCTGTTCATTTATAGAGCACCTGCTAGTTAGTCAGCCCTAAGAATTTCTGCTCATGATATGTGATTTCTTGTCATAGTGGACAGCATCTCCTGACTACTTCACAAATTAAATCGACTGAAAAGAGTAATATGTCAAGCCTCTAAGAAATGTGTTGTCAAAGACTGTGATGTTAGAACATGGTGAGACCATAAAGACAGACTTACAATTGCTGATTGACTTAAAGTTGCAGTAGGAAAACTCTGAGAAACCAGCTGGATTTTGAAAGTATCCAACCAAAAATATTCCACCTTCTGCATTCAGGCCTCTCTCTAAAGCCATTCCACCAAAACACATTCATGCGCAGTGGGTGCACAGCAGAGTGCACGCAGATCACCATAGACAGGTAGGCCTGCTAATTGTTTGGTCCGATCTACAAAAATTAAATCAAAAGACATTTCTAATCAGGCCCTATAAAAACAACGTAATGCCACAATCTTCAAGACTATGTCGATTTTATAATGTAGCATTTTAATTAGTATGCTCTAACAGAAATGATTACAGAATTTTGTTGAATGTTTTGTCTTGCATTTGTATAGTGTACTTTTGACTGTTGATAACATCATTCACATCATACTGTTCAGCTCAGCAGGATTTAAAGGACCCAGCAGTGCAATTTGCCCATCAATTATAACTAATTGTTTTGATAAGAAGCTTCTTTTGCTCCTTTCATTTTGCTCACTGTAACTTTGACATAGACTCTGCTACACATACAATTACATTTATTAGCAAAACTATTATATAACTTTAATTAGGGCTGAACGATTACCCATTTTCAAATCTAAATTGCGATTTGAAAGAAAGCGGTTAGCTAATCGTGATGATAGCGATTAAAATTTTGGTTAATTATACGGCGCATCTGACCCGTTTTAAACAGTCATGCAGCTACAAATTCATTCCGTTGTCATCCTTGTGTGACAGACTTTGTAACCAATCACAAGTGCCATAAGCCTCCTGTTACGGCCCTACTCACCAATCAGAGTGGGCACAGGGTGTGTACATTTTACAACAACAAACAAAACTAGAGGACAACGTGTGGGATGATGGCGTCAGGTGAACAGACGCAATTTGCCCAGCGTCAACTCACACTGAAGTGTTTTAGCAGTGAAGCGTTTAGCCTGCCTTTTGTTGTTGACGTGCTGTTAATTTGTCATTCTGTGTGCTTCAACTACCGATAACAGCTTTCTGTGAGCCCGTTTCACTTCGCTCTCTGCATGGCTACATCCACATGGAGCCTTTCAGGATAAGAGCGTTTTGCCTGCCTGATATTGCAGACTTGTTCAGGTTTTGTTAATTTGTTCAGTTGCCCTTGCTTTCTGTGCTTATACTAGGTAGTAGGCTACATTAAACTGTTTCTTTTTTTTTGTCTGTTTTAACTGTGTTTATTGTTGATCTACATTTGGGAGGGTGTTTCATTTTGAAAATCGACCAGATTCTCTGTTCTCCATTCTGTGTCTAACTTTTTGCATCTGCTGCTGTGCTGCTTGATGTGGGTTCCATCAAAAACTTAAAAAATAAAAAACATAAATTGAATCGTAATCTCAATATCTGTCAGAAAAATCGCAATAAGAGTTTAGATTAGATTTTAGGAGCTCAGAGTTAACTATTTTATTAGCTTTTTACTTTAGTTTTTGGGATTACAACGTTGATTTATCTTCACTCGAGCTTCTCATCAGCTAGCTTCTACTTCTACTACTTCATATTTATAGAAAAAAAGGACAAAACTGGACATTGCTTGTAGAAAGGAAAGCGAGGAAGTTGAACTACCTGGTGAGCTCAGAAAATATGTGTCTGTAAATTTATTCCAGCTATCGTACTTTACTGTGAACAAGTTAGCATAGCCCTGATCGATCCGAACTCCAAAAAAAGTTGTTGTCCTGCTGAGTTGCTGACAAACCTGACAAAACATGAATTTATATGTTTAACAAATCTGCATCATATTGTCGTTATTTCAGCATCAGTGTGATCCGTTTATTGCAATTCAATCACAGCAAAATGTTTACTTTGGGCTCATACAGCTGTAGTATTCGCAGGTTGTGTTTATTGGCGTTATGCTTTGTGTGTGAACACTCAGCAGTTGTCCAGCGATAAAACCTGCACGAGGAAAGCGCTGTGAGAATTAAATTTGCGTTGTATGTGAACACAGCGTAACAAGTGGTGTCCCCAACAAACTGGCCTTCCTTTTGAACATCAAGGGAAGCAAAGCTGCAATATTAGAAAAACCTTTAAGATAATCCAACTCAACAACACTATAATATTATAATACTCACAAAGGTAGCTTTTTGGCAATTCATTGTTTTCATGTGACATCATATTACAAAAAACGACAAGAGAGACCAGCCTGGGCTGTGGTGGTGGGTCATAGATAAGATGCTTGCCTTTGGTGTGGGAGACCTGGGTTCAATTCCCACTCTGACCCATCCACCATTGTGTCCCTGAGTAAGACACTTAATCCCTAGTTGCTCCAGAGGTATTTGACATGTATAGCAATTGTAAGTCACTTTGGATAAAAGCGTCAGCTAAATGTAATATTAAATTGGAAATTGTTGTACAATGTTTCAAACTGGGACAAAAGAAAAATGTTTTAAACAGAACCAAATATTTGTCATCATCACACACTTTCAGTACACATAGGTGCATGTTGACACCATATAAGCATTTACATTGGTGGTGCCTTAAGTGAAGCATACCTGCGAGAGCCTTGATGCGTGAGCGCTCGAAGAGTCGCGCTGAACTGTTCTCATTATCCCAGTCAGTCTCTGCTGCCAGGTCCCAGCGGTTGTTGATGTCATTATACTGCTGCTGGATCTC